GTGGCTGCCTGTGGTGGTTGCTGACAGCGGTAGGTGGCGGTGACGGCTAACGGTGGAGGTGGCCGGCTATGGGGGCGGCTGGTGGTGGTGGGTGCCAGGGGTGATGGTGTGTCATACCCCAAAGTTTCAGGTAAAAATATAAATTTTGCTTAGTTAAATTATACTTTAAAACAATGTTTAAAATTGCGTATTCGGGTATTGAGGCGTTTTTCATTCGTGAGGAGAGGCGTAAGCCTCAAGGTGTTTTGAGGCGTAAGCCTCAAAATCAAAAGATTGCGTAAACATAAAATGATAAATTTTTTATATACTAATGATTGAATAATATAAAACATAAAAAAGCATAAGATATTAAGTGAAATCAAAATATCCCAATAATAAGACAACATGAAATATAGTTCAACACAAAATTCTATCTTTCCCAAATTCCAGTATTCTTTTCATTAACATATAATTCAAATTTCCAAAAATAAATAACAATGACATATCACATAAGAACTCATAAGTCACCAGCACTGTCATCACTAAGGGGTTCTTCATTTGAATCATCATTATGATAAACCGCTCTCTCCCCTTCCTCCTCTCCTATAGAGTCCAATGTCGGGCATTTTCTTCAAGATTTATGTAAGTTTTAATATATATATAGCATGAGGCATAAGCCTCATGCCAGTGAGGCGAGGCGGGCCTCAACCAAGTTGAGACGCAAGCCTCATAAAAAAACTTGAGGCGTAAGCATCGAGGCGTTTTTTACTGGAATTGCACAAAGGCGGGCCTCAAGGCGAGCCTCATATTGCACAATTTTAAACCATGCTTTAAAATATCAACCTTCACGAAAATCACCAAGCATTATTCCATTGTATTTTACACATCAATTGGAGCAAATGAGTATATAGAACTATATGCTAATTTATAAAGGGTTGAAAGTTATTGAATTAGTTTTGATTCTCATTTTTTCCTTAAGTTTTAATTCAATTACTGTTTAAAAGTATTTTTACTTCAGCACTAAAGCAATTAACTGATATATTAAATTAGCTTAGCATTCCATTGGCAGTCCAGTAATCCTTGCATGCACTGGCTGATGGGCTGATCAGCCGCTGCCCTAGCAATTCAAGGGCTGGGAGGTAGAGGCGTGAGCGGCGTGAGCATTAATAAAATGATCATATATTCAAGGAATCAGAGAACAAAAAAAAGGCGTTTAAAGGGGAGAGCAGGATAGAGAGGGCTAGGTCACAACTGAACAAACTAACCTTGAAGATAAAAGAAGAGCATCTGGAGAAACTGTGAGATCAGTACCGGTTTAAATTTTTTCTTTAAAGTTTCAAGAAGCTAAGGAATTTTCAGAAGTGGTGATATGTATGATTATTAATTCAGATATGCCTGCTAGAGTTTTTTTTTATCTGGTGCATCACATTCTTTCATATCTCAGAGTTTGAACAAATTTTGGATATGAATTGGTTAATAAAATATTTTTGTATTATTAAATGTTGAAAGAAAAGAGTCAGATTTGATTTACTTGGATTAGAGGTATTTAATATTTAGTATGAGAAAGTGTAATTTCATCTTTGATTACTTCTAGTCAGGTGAACAAAAGTAGGAGAGCTGATGAATTGATTTTCTTGGCAAAGTTAGAAGCTAGAAAAGGGACAATTGATGATATAAATTCCATTTCAGATTTGATTCATTTTGCATGTACATTAAATGCAGTTGAATTAAAATTAAAAAATAAAAATTCATATTACGACTATTTTAGTTATATTATCATTTTTAAAGTGAAAAATAATTAAATATATTGCAATAAGTAATTATAAATACAACGATGTGAAAATCAGTCAGAGATTTCGACATGTGTATCGTCGACGTAGTCGTGGATTGACGGCTACGATTCAAAGTTTGTATTTTTGATTTATTTTCTATTTTATGTTTTATGTTGCATTTGAGTTTTTCCATTTTACCCCTATGGGGAGTTGAGTCTATGTTGTAGCCCAAGGGCACTTTAGTCTTTTCGGTTTTCTTTCATTTGGGCCTATTTATAGGAGGCCTCTTGCATTGTAAAGGGGATGATTATTGATATGAAAATTTTAGTTTTTCCTTATGATCTCTTTGTGAGTTTTAGAGGAGAGGAGTAGCCTAGGAGAGACTCAAAAGAAATACCCAACAACCCCCTTCGTGGGAGCTCTTGGTTCTTTTTATGTTTCTTTCTTTCTTCCCTTTTCTCCTAGCCGCCGTCACCCCCACACCCACCTCCTTACTACCGGCCAGCAACCCCACTTCTCCCTCTTCCCTTAGCTGCCGGATTCCAGCCTCCCTCACTCGTCCGGCCCAAATCCCCCACCTCCTTCCACCGGAGCCAACACCCAAGCCGCCGGCCCCATTAATCCCTTAATTGGTTTGATTTGAATTTCAAATAGGCTCTGCCTCTCTAATGAAAATCTGAAATTTAGACTTCAGATTTTTCCTCTCACCTTCTCCCCCCAAACCACTTGGCTTAACCCAGAAGAAACCCCAACCCTAGCCGCCCCTCACCCTCCCCAAGTCATTTCCCATCATCCTCTCCCTTCCTCCTCACAAATCTCAAGCTTGTTCTTCTCCAACCGCCACCACCGCTATGCATGGCCGATCCGGAAGCCGACCATGGCTTCTTATATGATGATCAAGGACGAATAAACATTCTCAAATCTCATTTCTTCGACGTGAACCTAGACGTGGATGCTTCCGTGGAAGATTATTTAAGTCACATCCTTTTCACGTTGGTACCCTCCATCAAAGAGCCCATTCCTACCGGGCGTTGGATACTCACTTCTAAAGTTTTACTAGTTATAGACTTCTTGTTCTCCCAAATTAGGCTTTTAGAATTATCAAGTAGAAATTATGTAAGACATGCGATTATAACTAGATTAACAGGATGCTTACAATTTAACAACATAAAATAGAGAAAGTAATGCTATGGCAAGGAAATATTAATCCACGGTTTAACAAATAAAATTGCTCACCTTGGGTCTCTCACTCACACTCTTGGTGGAGGTACTTTAGTGGAAGAAGATTGAGAACAAGGTTAGCGATGCCACTAGCAAACAACTGACGCCCAAGGTGTAGCTCGTTAGAGAGGTGGCCGGCGGCGGGGAATCCACGAGTTGAATATTTTAACATCTCTAAGCAGTTCTTGTTTTCGTACATGTATGTTTCACATCATAACATCAAGACTTTATCCCACTATGTAGGGTTGGCTTCATGAATCCTTTTTCTCCATTGTGTCCGGTTAAGAGTCAAATTCTTATTTAAATCTAATAAAGAAAGGTTATTTCTAATATTTTATAACCAAGTCTCTTTAGGTCTTCTTCTACCTTTCTTAACATTGGTTAAATCTAATACATCTACTCTCCTTACCGGGTCATCGGAAGGCCGCCGTTTTATGTGACCAAACCATCTAAGGTGACTCTCTTTAATCTTATCTGCCATTGGAGCTACTCCAACCTTTTCACGTATATGCTCATTTCACATTCTGTCTCTAAGAGTAAAGCCACTCATCCACCTGAGCATCCTCATCTCTGCAACACTTAATTTATTATTATGCTTCTCTTTTAATGGCCAACATTCTGTGCCATAAAGGATTGCAGGTCTAACCACCATCTTATAGAATTTTCCCTCTTAAGTTTTAGTGGTACTTTTCTATCAGAAGTAATTATAATTAATAATATTTATTTGCATGTGTAAAAAGTCCGTGTGAATAAAACTAAAAATATTAAATTAATATTAAAAATTATAAATAATAACATTTTATTATTTTTTAAAATAAATATTAGAAAATAAACTAAAATTTAATTTTATAATGAAAATTAGCAGTGTTTACAAATTAAAATATAATATGATATTAAAACTAAACGTTCATATTGCATGTTATAATAAGAGCATTGGCACTATGAGGTCCCCCATGTAATTGCATGGAGTACCAACAAATCAAGCTAGAAACCACTCCGCAGGATGGGTGGGTGGGTGGTAGCCCTAGAGGGCCGATTAGTATCCCAGTGCTCTCTGGCAAGGCCGTTGCTAATTTGTAGCACTCAATACAAGTAACATAAGAGGAAGTCAACGTTGCACATCTAAGAGGACTACGCCCCCGTGAATGTAGTTTGGTACCTTTTACCTTTTCCTTGGCATTGTGGCAATTGACCCAAGCTGTGACAAATCTTTATGAAAACGGGCTTGTGATACTTATGCTGCTACTTTGTGAGATTCAAAACTCTATTGGAAGAGTCCTTCATTTGCTCGACTTTCTCTGCAGAAAAAACCATCTATCGTGGTTTGCCACGACTAGGCTTGGTCTTTCTCCCATTGTCCATGGTGTGAGTGCTATGTTGTCGTGTAATGACACCTTCCCTGTTAGAAGCATTTAGATTGCCAAAACTGGATGGTGGGATATGGTTGTTGATGTTAATATAATGATCATTTTGAACAAAAGTGGTTAGAATAACTTCAATATGGAAGAAAGGTTCTTGAATTCCGAACCTGAAACGCAGCTTGTTAGATTATAATAGCTTTCATTATTGGCAAATTAAACTATTTCATGGTTTAATTTATTATGCACACGTGGGATTTGATTTTGTTTGTTTGTTTATGAGAATGATATGATGAAGGAAGCCTTCTTAAGCCCTTGATTTTTTTTTAGTCATCAATGATAACGTGACACTTTTATTGTCTTTCATTAACTATACAACTGTCATAATAATTGTTCTAAAAATCTTAATTGATTGTATTCTGCGATCTACTTACCTGAAAGATGGCAGTTATTTAATTCTATTTTCCGTTCTCAGCTTTTGGTTATTGACTATTAAATGGATTTATGGAAAAAAGTCACGCTGATTCAAAGCTCATTTGGCCCATACTCGGACTTTCTAGCATCTAAAATTTTTCAAGCTAAAACAATAGTATTAAATATGTAATTATCTGCAGCATGTTTAAGTGAATTTTTAATTATTAATGGAGTGTTGAATATTATCTTTTTCTAGGAGTTTGTCCAATCACAGGTTGATTGGATACATTTCACCGGAGATTGGAAAGATAAACCAGTTAAAAATATTGTAAGTTTCCATTTATATTTCCAATGATTTTATTTGGCTGCTTTGTGGTTCACCTTGTAATATATTTGTTATATGTGTAATAGATCTCTACATGGCAATAGTTTATACGGAACGGTTCCTCCAGAGCTTGGAAACTGTACAGCTTTACAGATTTTGTAAGTCCTAATTGATTTTTCTCATGCAAAATGAAGAGAGAAAATTTCATGTAATCTGGGATTTGAGGTTTCTCGATTTTTTATTTTATTATTATTATTATTATTATTATTATTATTTTTTGTGTTAGAGGATCTGAGTTTATGGTTGAGTGTGGGTTTCCTCTACATTTACAGTGATCAATTTAATCTAGAATCACAATCTAGCATGCACATTTAATAGGCATAAAATATGAGTAGCATAACTATGCCATCATTGTTGTTGGCTGAAAGCGTTTTAAAAAAAAATTGTCCATGTTCTGCATAATTTATTTCAGTAAGCTCCAGCTTTCTAGCCACTTCATCAAATGCCTGCTTTTGTAGTTTTGATTTGCAAGTGATATAAGTCTGTTTATTTGGAATGGTTTAATTATTAGTATTTATTTATTGTTATTATTATGATTCTTAATGCAAGGGTCTTCTTTAGAATTAAGTTTGCAACGTACCTTACTGCATATTCATTTCATCACCGATCATCATATAATTATTGCAATATATTGTAATCTGGGTATATTTCTGCAGGTACTTGCAGGGGAACTACTTGAGTGGTATTATCCCTGCAGAATTTGGTAACCTTTCCGAGTTAGAGAATCTGTGAGTTCTGTCTTTATTTTTGATATTTTTTCTGACTATTCTTTTCCACCTTAATTACACTGCTTGCTTTACTACGCCAGCTAATTTTAGATTTTGCTTCAATTTCATATTCCCACTTTACATTGTTTAGTTGGGTAGAAGTATATGGAGCTCTGTACTTTACCTTTTCTTTTATAGACTTTGTTAAGTTTATGCTTTTGGTGTGCCATATGCTATTGAAGTTGTTCTGTGCTCTTAGTTCTTATATCATCTTGTATCATCATCGTTAACTCACTTCATGGATAGGTATAAATGATGATATTCGGTTTTAGTTTGTCGAGCCTCTTTATGTGTTTTTTTAAAAATGGTACATTATTAATCGACTTCTCATTTGTATCTATATTATTTATTGTTAGTGATGTTTCAAGCAATACACTGAGCGGATCTATCCCTCCATCACTTGCTAAACTGGACAAAATGAAATCATTGTGAGTGTCTTTTTATCATTACTCAAAATAGGGAGAAGATGTAACAAGGTATTGATCTGTGCATCCTAATCAAGCTTATTTTTTTTCAACTGTTTGAAGCAATGTGTCGATGAACTTTTTGACTGGAACAATACCTTCAGAAGGTGCTCTTCTAAAGTTTGGTGGGAATTCGTAAGTCTTACATACACAATTTATTTATGCCATGTATGAATTTATCACATTTTTTTGAATTTGTGAATGAACATGTTCTTTCTCTTGAATTTGCGTTGGTTATGAATGTCATATAAATCACGACAGAGTGAGGCAATATAATGGGAGGATTATGCTGGAATTCAGTAGGAGAACTATGAAGGTCAATGGAAGAATGGGAATGAGAAGAGAGATGAATTATAACCTTAAAATGAAGGCAGAGAACCCTCCTTTTACACTGCATTTCTTTTACATTACTTTTTCAAACTAAATAAAAAAAATCATTCACTTGAATTTACATTACACTTATTCAAACAACTTCAAAGTATTCCTTTTACACTGCATTCCTTTTTTAGCCAACAAACAACCCCTACATAAAGGACGTATGTATGATAATTTTGTTTTAGTGATATCCAATTATTTAATTCAATTGTATGGTTATTTAGTTTTTTTTTTAATTTTTAATCGTATTCATTTAGGTAATCTGATAAGGGTTGCTATTAACCATCTAAAAATGTAATACCTGAAATAGATTTAATATTTCGTAAATGTATATAAATATTTTATATAATTTATACATGTTGCATTCAAAAGATATAATATAAAATATAACATATGTAAATACAAAATTAAATGATATTGAGATTAAAATATCTAAACTACTAATAAATTATGGTGTAAAGTTATTTGTTTTGTTTTATTAAACACTATTTGGCCTCAATGCACTTTTAAAAATTTTAACACTATAATTTCCATTCTAAGAAGGATTTGATATAAAATATTTATTGCTGAATCAGTTTGTTATTGTCATTGAGTTTTGAGTATTCAATTGATCAAAGATACTTTATGCTATTTATTTTAACTATTTTATTCAATTCAGGCAACTTAAAACAGGATACGAAACGAGCATATATGTGAAAATGTTGGAGTAGCTCTAGTGAAAGATAAGATTATGGAGAGTCACCTTAGATGATTTGGTCACATAAAACGGCAGCCTTTCGATGACCTTGTTGGTAGAGCAGATGTATTATATTTGGCTTATGTTAAGAAAGGTAAAGGTAGACCTAAAAAAGACTTGGCTAGAAAATATTAGAATAAACCTTTCTTTATTAGATTTAAATTAGAATTTGACTCTTAATAGGACAAAATGGAGAAAAGGATTCATGTATCCAACCCCAAGTAGTGTGATAAAGGCTTGTTGTTGTTGATTCGATTTTGGTATCTCTTGTTAATTGGATGAGTTTTAATAAAGTTTGTCGGGGTGGGTAGTCTTCTTATTGCCATTCATAAAAGGTCATGGAACCTTAAAATTGTCTTAATGGATACCACAACTAGGTCAAATCATCGCTATGGCTTCCATATTTTAAATATTCATAAAATATTTTATGATTATTATAATCTGTACACCTTAAATAAGTGCCAGGTCAGATACTCCAATTTGCTTGACCATCTTTCTTGAAAAGTGTGCATAATTGACCTAGCCAAGTTGGTATTCTAGCAGAACAGTAAAAGGAGAGCGACCCTCACCTTAAGGTGGACACATAATTGTAATCTTATTGAGGATCAATCAGGGGCCTTATAGGCCAAATACTGTTCATTAACTTGGATAAAATTCCTTGGGACCTAATGACTTTACTATAGCTTTGTTGAAGTGATCAACATATTTGTTCCCATATAATCTTCAGGATGTCATGATTTATAAATTATAGCATTTTGGGTCGCCTCATGTTGACCCCCATACCTCAAACCACACGAGAAAGGACCCAAACAAATAAAGGAATACGTGCCTTGGTGTCACACGTCATTTGAAGGGTCAAACGACCTCTGATTACCAAACAGACGGCGTCGTTGCGGTTAAGACATCGAATTCTGTTGGGTCAAGATCCCTCGCTGTGAAATCGGACGAGATCGATACAAAGGGAAGACCGATACCCGAAGTTAATGAAGACCGGCACTCAAACGATGTCGAATCAATGAACAGACTCCGTCGCTGCATCCGGAATGTCGCCAACACTTGAAATATATATCATATTTAATTATTTGGGATCAACCAAGATGATGGCATGAATTTTAAGGAAAATCAGCCTCGTAGCTATCCAAGTGATGTCCGTTCACAAAATGGATTTCGCCATTGCGACTGAAATATTGCGAGTACTCAAGAACTACACTTTCTATGTTCAATTTGAAGCATTTGGATTGATGGCACGAATTTCGAGCAAAACATGAATATCGAGGAGAATAGGCCGCGTCACTGCCCAAATGAAGTCCGATCGTGAAACGGACTCTGCCACTGCATTCAGAACATCCAAAATACTTATGACATCAAATTTGTGCAAATTAAAACATGCAAGAATGCCGACACGCATATCGAGGAAAAGAGGCCTTGACACTGTCCAACAACGTCCGATCGCGAAACGTACTTCGTCATTATACTCAGAACATTGCAAATACTTCAAAACTATATTTTTTTATGTTCAAATTGGATCATTCGGATTGGTGGCACACATCCCGAGGCGAAGGGAAAATTTCAAGGAAAAGGCTGCTCTACGCTACCCAAATGACATCTGATTGACGAACGAATTCTGTCGTTGTGTCTGGAACGCCTTGAATACTCTATGCACTATGAATTTGTTTGAATGAGGTTGTGCGCACAAATCAAGACAACATGCATTTCAAGCAAATCAGGCCTTGGCGTCGCCCAAACAAAGTCCGATCGCGAAACGTGTTGCGCTGTTGCGACTGTAACATCGACAATACCTAAAATGCACTATTAATTTGTCTAATTTCGATTATCAGGAAAAATTGACACGTTAAATGATGAAAAAGGCAAATAAATCGGGAAAACACGCAAAGCAAGACGATTTTTGCTTGACTAATGAAGTTCTGTCATTTCTGAATCAATATATTAATGGCTAATCATTAATAGAGCTAATAACTTGATGAGTTTGACAAAAAATCATTTTACCAAACAGAGAAATAAAGTCAGAGTGGAAATTAAATGCACATTAATGCAGCCTGTTCAGTCGAATCCTCGTCAATCTATCAATCCCGTGTTGCTGGCTTTGGTTTGTTCAAATGAGAGTTTGGACGTTAAAAAAATAAAAAGGAACAGAAGGAGATAGCTGCCGCTTGGATATTCACGTCAGACTAACCTCCAAGCTACCACAGCTCCAAATCCATTTCACAAAGAAGCCAGCTACCTATCCTTTTCTCCAGCAACCTTCTGTCTCCAAATTCCAATCCCCCTCTATTTCACGGACCTTCAATAACCTACCAAACGTCCGACTGCTATAGCCGGATTAGCTCAGTCTGTTGGCCGATCCAGCCTCTGCAAACATCTAGCAAGATCAACTCCACACCAAACCGCAGGCTTCTCCTTGCCAAATCCCCGTAGCTTCTTCTCATGCAAGAAAAGAGGATGAGTGGGAGAGGCAGTTCAAGATACCCCTTCAACCTGCTCCAATTCATCAAATCTGGCAGAATCCCTTCATCGGCTGAAAGCTCCACACGACTAGAGCACTTCAGTTGATCTCCAAATTTCATGGACATTCCAACCTCCACATTCCATGATCTACAAAGGACTCCTTGCTGACCTTCTTCCCCTCCTCCCTGTTCCCAAAGGATCTCACACCCACTGCCTCAACCGAATTCATCTCCCATCTGTCCACTTACAACGTTGAAGCCCTTGAGGTTGATGTGGTACTGTTGGAATTGGGTCAGATATGTCCCCTTACAATGCTTTGATGGCTGCATTGGCTCGTGGAAAACTCTGGAAAGCAAGCAGAAAAGATACTTGCTGAGATGAAGGATCTCAATTGTATACCAAATGAGCTTACTTGTTGTTCTTTGCTGCATGCATGTGTCAATGCGAGTGAGCTTGAGGGGGACAGAGGGGCTCGTGCAGCACAGTGTCTTGAATTGGAGGAGAGAAATGCGGCTGCCAGTGCTGCAGATGAAGCCATGGCAATGATATTGTGGCTTCAAAAGGAGAAAGCTGAGATAGGCATGGAGGCCCATCAATATCGGCAAATGGTTGAGGAGAAATCTGCTTATGATGAGGAAGAAATGGAAATTCTCCAAGAGATTATAATGAGGCAGGAGACGGAGAAGCAAATTCCCTTTCTTTTATCAATGAGAGCAGTTCATTCTCATGTACGTTTGGAAAGGACTGTTGGGCAAGATGAATCTGCATTTAGTGGAGTAGATCTTGCAATGCTTAACAGGAATAAATATGAACGAGCTTATGATGTAAAGAAGGAATTCACCAGGAGAACCTCATTGGAAAATTATGAATTGGAAGAGATGAAAGCATTTTGCAAGAGTTTAACTTCAAATATTAATTGCATTATTGGATTTGATTTATGTCATGCAGCATTTGACATGGAAAAGAAACCCATGTTTCTGTCAAATAAATGGAGAGATTTTCTTTGCAGGTGTTCTAATTACATTGATTTTTATCTTGAGAAAGGTACTCATTGCTTGATCGATGAGGATTCCATTAAGGAATATAAGAAAATGGCAAAGCAAAAAAAAAAAAAAAAAGGAGAAAGAGCTTTGTGCATGTGTTTTGTTTGCAAATTCCTCGTCGTCGTCATCACATTGCCCCAAAGGTCTAAACTTCTAAAACATAGATTTCCCATCCTCGTCGATTACGATGGACCGGCAAACTCCCTATACGCGCTCTCGTATCATGGTGGGAGGAAACCCGGTGCGACGCTTATGACGAGACGGGTAATCACTTAAAATCATATTCTCGTAGTTTGTGGCGGACCGGGGAACCATCTATACGCGCTCTTGTAGCACGGTAGGAGGGAACCCGGTGCGACGCCGACGACAAGGCGGGTAATCACTTTAAATCCCATTTTCGGCCTTTGTGGCGGACCGGAGAACCACCTATACGCGCTCTCGTAGTATGGTAGGCGGGAGTCCGGTGCGACGCATACGATAAAATGGGTAAGCCCTATACACGCTCTTGTAGCATG